ATAGGGTTTGCATCATCAGCGTGATTCGTCTGCACTCGCTCTACATCCTGCTGAAGGAGACCGACCTCACGAGTGAGTTCCCTCCCGGAGGGCACCACGGAGAAAATGGCGCGCGCTAACAAAAAGCAGTGAACACGGTCACAGCCCTCATGTGGTGCATCCCTCGAACTCAACCTCAGCATCTTCGGCGGCAACATCCCGGCCGCCAAGCCGCTGCTGCAGCAGATTTTCCCCAAGCTCTTCGGCACCTCGCGCCGCGACACCTCCAACGCCATCTACCTGCACTCGTCCCATGGCGAGCGCTCGCAGACCAAGGGCAGCCGGGCCATGGGCGGGTCGCACTTTGCACCCGATGCCAGCATGCGCACGCAGACGCACGTCGTGGGCGACAGCGGCAGCGAAGAGTACATCATGCAGGACCAGAAGATTACAAAGACGGTTGAGTTCAGCTTTGACGTGCAGAGCGCGAGAGACTCGGACGCCGATCTGCGGAGGTGAGGGGGGGCTTGTTGAATATAGGTTCAGCACAAGGCGCAGAACGTGGATGCATGATAGCAGAAGAATGGGCGGATGAATCGCAATCACGATTGTAGTTTTTTTTTCTAGTCTTCAATCTTGAATGAGATCTCGATCAATCAGATCTCCGATCATGTCAGCGTGCTGCCGGACGTCCGAAGCCGGTCCGGATTTGGAGGTGTGCCATTCTCAGCCGCGTGTGTGACTTTCTGTATTGGGCTTCAGCCGCTCGACATGGAGAGCTGCTGCTCTACAGGCCCACTCATGCAGCGGTCTGGTATGTTTGTTTCTTTAGACAGATAGACTGTTCTCGACTTCTTCTCGACTCTACCTCCTTCTCGGATCTCACGCATTCACAGCAGTCGCGTATTGGCAGCTTCACCGCCGTCTGTGCAAACCAGTCATCAAACCGCAGCCCATTAATTCATTCTCCAGCCAAGCGAGCTGCCATGACTGTCCCAGACTCTACGCTCCCGCTCCCGCGCATCCTTTGCCTGCACGGCGGGGGCGTCAACGCCGAGATCTTCGCTCTCCAGGCGCGCGCCCTCATAGCGCGCCTCGCGCCGTATTTTCGCCTCGTCTTCGTCGACGGACCCTTCCTGTGCGCCGCCCACGAGGACATCGTCGCCGTCTACGGCGAGCTCGGCCCCTTCCGCCGCTGGCTGCCGTGGCTGCCGTCACACCCGGACGTCGACGCCGAGACGGCGTCGGCCGAGATCCGCTACAGCCTGCGCACCGCCATGGAGGGCGACGACGTCGCCGGCGCCACGGGGCCCTGGGTCGGCCTGCTGGGGTTCAGCCAGGGGCCCAAGATCGCCGCGAGCTGGCTGTACACGCAGCAGGTCCTCGGCGGCGGGGCGGCCACGGCGTTTCGGTTTGCCGTGCTGCTCGCGGGCCGGGCGCCGCTTGTCGTGCTCGAGGACGGGGTCGCCGTTCCGCCGGGCGTGGCGGATGCGTCGATGAGGAGCTCGCAGTTTGAGGGGCTGCCGGAGGGGATCACGGGCGATGCGCACGTGCTGAAGCTGCCAACTGTTCATGTGCACGGCCTGAGGGACCCTGGCCTCGAGCTGCATCGGGTCATGATGAAGTCCTACTGCGAGGAGGGCACAACGAGGTTGGTCGAGTGGAATGGCGGTCACCGGGTGCCGATCAAGCAGGCGGATGTCGATGCTGTTGTCGGGGAGATCTTGAGTCTGGGCAGAGAATTGGGATTGGTGGATGGTGGTGAGCTAGCATAGCGTCGGCATTGGTTTGCTTCTCGATAGGTTCTTGGAAATATTCACGATATTACGTCCTTGCTCATACTGTGAATAGGTTGGCAGTACACCTCGAGTGAGTATGGTCACTCTTGTACAGACTAATCGTCATTAATCTCAAGGTGGAACACAGCTTGGGTTTAGTGTAGCGCCATCTCGCGATGCTGGTGGAAGCCAAGCCAAACAAGTCGTGAATCTAATTCCAGCCCGTGAGTCACTTCACCGAAGCGGGCACTGAAAAACGCTTCGTCGCCCACGGTCAGACATCGATGACACCTTGTGTACCAACAACTCCTTCGTCGCCATGGCTGCTGTTCCCAACGTCCTTGTCACCGGCTCGGCCGGTCACCTTGGCTGCGCTCTCATGCTGTCGCTTGCCTCTCACGGCCACACCCCCATCGGCATTGACATGCTCGCCGCGGCCACGACGACGCACGTTGGATCGATCGCCGACCGCCCCTTTGTCGCCTCCATCTTCGCCCGCTACCCCTCCATCAAGCATGTCCTCCACGCCGCGACGCTGCACAAGCCGCACGTCGACTCGCACACCAAGACCGACTTTGTCAACGTCAACATGACCGGAACCCTGAATCTCCTTGAAGAAGCCTCGGCCCGCGGCCCGCAGATCGAGTCCTTCGTCTTCATCTCGACAACGTCCACCTTTGGCAGGGCTTTGAGCCCCCAAAAGGGCAGCCCCGTCGCCTGGATTGACGAGGCCGTCATTCCGATCCCCAAGAACATCTACGGCGTCACAAAGGTCGCCGCCGAGGATCTCTGCCGGCTGGTCCACGCACAGACGCGCATGCCCGTCCTCGTGCTGCGCACGAGCCGCTTCTTCCCCGAACAGGACGACGACGAGGACAGACGCAGCGCCATGGACGACGAGAACCTCAAGGTCCTCGAGCTGGCGTATCGGCGCGTCGACATTTCTGATGTCGTGTCCGCCTGCGTTTGCGCCATGGCGAGAGCACGGGATTTGGGGTGGGGGAAGTACATCATCAGCTCGCCGCCTCCGTTCCGTCGCGATGAGGAGACGCTGAGGGAATTGGATGCTGATGCCGGGGCTGCCTACAGAGCTGCGGTGCCGGGGATTGAGGCCGCGTTTGGGAGACGGGGCTGGGGGTTCTTGCCGAGGATTGATCGTGTGTATGATTCTTCCAGGGCGGTGGCCGAGCTAGGGTGGAAGCCTGAGTATACGATACAAAAGACGGTTGAGCGTCTGGCCAGAGATGAGGAGTGGAGAAGCGAGTTGACTTTCAAGGTTGGGAAAAGAGGGTATCACGCCGTGCCAACGGGGGTGTATACCACCCGTTGAGAGATAAAACGACTTGTTAGCTATGTGTTCGTTGATGTGAGCATAAATACTCTTCATTCACGACTAAGTACTCGTGATTGCTTCCGACAAGAATGCCCGTGGAATATTAGAAAGCTTAGCGGACGAACTGGGAGAACCGTGGCTCCTTATTTGAGCCCTCAGACCTTTCCTCTAAGAGCTGGGGATCAAAGAAGGTTCACAAAGATGCACAAATTTGCTAGGTCTCAGGATGCCTTTGGTGTGGTAGTGTAAATATAGCACATCTTCTGTCTGGGAGAGCTTGAAAGAGAAAATTATGTGCAAGGCTGTCCCCATGATTGATCCGTTCAGAGCACTGAGAGTTGTTATCAAGCCTCGCATGGAAATATGTTTGTTTTTCATCATCGCAACTATTTCATCCATGGAGAAGGAATATTGACTCTTGAGAGCATGACAATATGGGAGCGAAGGAACTACCTTCGCCGATACCGGAATGGGAGAGTCGGAAAATGAAGCATTTCTGCATCGGAATCTGCAGATATGTCCCAGAAAATCCACATCACAGATGAGCACAGCAAAGCCCAAAGGTCACAGGCAAAGAGCACCACTGATCATTGCCACAAATCCATAAATCCAAGACGCTACATCATCAACCAAAACATTCCCCGCAACCATGCACACGTCACGCCAACGGCCGCAGAAGATCCCCATGCCCCTCTGCCCTGACAGCATCCTGCACGGCAGCTAGGATCTCGGCATGCACGCCCGCCGGCGCGGCAACCCAACCAAAATTGGCAACCATCTTACGCCCTGCCGTCAGGTCGGGCTCCCTGCCATCGACGTCAGTCACCTTGCCGCCGGCCTCCTGGAACATGAGCATGGCGCCGGCGTGGTCCCAGATCTTGCCGAGGCGCTCCCTCTTCTTGTAGACCCAAAAGGTCACATTGGCGTGGCCGAGGGCGAGGGAGGCCCAGCGCGGTACCCAGCCGAGGAGATCGTTGCCGGGATAGGCGAGACCCATGCGCGTGGCGATCTTCTCGTGGATGCCGGGGATGGACGAGTCGGCGTCCGTGCTCGTGACGAGGCGGTACGATGACGTGTCGGTGGGGTGCTGCGGGATGCGGGTGCCGGCCAGGTCGGCGGCCCCGGGCAGCGGCCGGAGGAACGACCCGCGCCCGCGGACGGCGTAGAGGAGGGAGCCGCCGTGCGGGTTCGGGTCGATGGTGTGATTCTGGATCGGGGGCGTGGCGTCAGGCGCGAGGTTCGGCAGGCCCACGACAGCGACAGTTTGCTTGCCGCCGACGAGAAGGCAGGCGTTGACGGCATAAATCTCGCCGCGAAGGTAGGTTTTTGTGCCGTCGATGGGGTCGAACACCCAGACCCGCCCCTTGTGAGGCTGGCCGAGGCCTGCACGGTCGATGAGCTCGCAGGTGTGGTCTGGCGACGTTGGGAAGCGGACGACCGAGGCACCATCCTCACCCTCGACCTCGGCGGCTTTGACCTCTTGCAGAATCGCCCATACGGCTGCTAGCAAATCGGGGTTCGCTCGTAGGTCGTCAGCAGCCTCTTCGCCGACAAAGGAGTCACTAGGAAAGGCAGCCGTAAGGGTGGCGGTGAGGATGGCCTGGCAAGCAAAGTCGGCCACGGTGACAGGGCTGTGATCATCCTTGTCGATGTGTCCCACGCGGTTGTTGGCAGCGGCCAGGACAATTTTTGATAACTTCGCAGCGCGTTGAACGGCCGATATCGTTGTCGTGAGCTCGGCGAGGTACTCTGAGTCCATGGTGGACGAGGGGGTAGGGGCCGCCCAGGGTATCTTTTGAAGATGACGAGGGGTGTTCCACTGGATCGGTCGGTGCCGTACGTCTTTGTTGAGGCTCAAGACCGATTGAGAATAAGTTCGACCGAGAAGATCTGGCGGGCGAGCCCAATTGACAGAATTGTGGGTGAATTGAAGATTGAGGCAATAGATAGAGATGAGTCTGATGCGAGCTGAACTGAAGTGAAGCGAAGCGAACCCGATGGGTGCAAGAGTGAAAATCCGTGGTAGTGACGTTTTGTGGGGCCACCGTCATCGGCTCCTGCCCCGCAAGGGACTGATCTAGGTGCGCCTGCCGTTTGTCAAGTTGTGGGCAGCAACACGCTGAGGGACCGTCATCGTCATTGAGGGCATCACGAGGCAATGGCAAGATGAATGATGCACTTTGCTCCTTCCGACTCTCGGCCTCGGCCCTAGCATCTATGGCCACGAAATCATATATCAACCCTCAATCAACCGGAAAAAAGAGACATGAGAAAAATCCAGACTGGACAAGGATCTCTTGCCATCACACGCTGACCTCTTAGGCTTCATTCCTTGAGGTCCTCCATCAGCACAGCACCGTCAGTCGTATTGTCGAATTCCCGGCTCGAAGAGGGGTTTGACTAGCAGCGCCAGTTAGCACAAATCTTCTCCATTCCCATACCCGAGTAACGAAAAAAACTCACCCTGCTCCCACGTCAACAGCGGCTCCTTGCTCGCCACAAGGTCCTCACCAAACCCGCAGACACCACGTCTCTCACGAGCGCGTTCCCTGCGACTCTGCGCA